GGTTGGTGAACTGAAGTGCAAACCGCGCGGTGAATGGAGGGGTTTTTGAAGAAGTTAGCACGCGTCCGATCCTGATGCTCGAGAACAGGCAAGTCAGATATGTGACGTGCGAATGAAAACAAGGAGCGAAAAGAACTGGGAGGTTAAAGGCTATCTATCTGGTGGTGATGGACGCTACCGACACGTTGAGAGAGCGGGTTGGATAGAGAAAGGAATTGGGTGAATGAAGGAGCGAAAGGGATGATGACGATGGTAAGGAGAGAAGAGGAAGACAAGAAGAAGAAAGAAAGTCAACAAGGTATACCTGTTGCTGAGATAAACAATACTTGAGGTAGATGGGATAAGCCTGATTGTGTTGATATGTATCACACTCTTTCAAGCGTGTCACCAGCAGATGCTTCATCACCATGGTGTTGTGCTGTTTTGCTTAGAACTACACAGCAACTGTGTTCACCCTATGCGGTTGCCGCTTCCTGATTGCTGTGAATGGACTTGAGAAATGTTTTTGAGGGATGCCAACGATCCTTCCTTACGCCAAAACAATAGCAGAGGGAGAGCAGAATGGATGTAAAAATATCCAGGGAATCTAAGGGAATATCTTTGCATTGATAGAAGGATCCTTTGTTTTTTATACGAATATACAGCCATTGGCGTTGAGGAGCCAACGCAAACAACGAAGAATATACAAAAGTGAAACAGTGAAAGGAACATGACAAAGAGAAGGAACACGTCTCTCCCAGTTAAAATTCGGGAGAGGAATAGTAAAATCAAAAATGTGAGTTTAAGTCATCCATCCCATATATAATATTTCCCATGAAGATGCATTTGGAAAAGAACATCGGAAAATATTGACGAGAGGTGTAATATCTCGGAAGGTAAGGGATGGAAAAAGAGAGGCAACAGGGGCAAGAGGCCCGGTAAGGACCGTGCGTGGGTGTCTATATGTACATGCTTTCCATAGACATATATCCTGTCTTTTTCATGTCTAATTACTTCCTTGAAGTTGGATTCAAGAAAGGAAAGAGAATGAAATGGAGAAAATAAGAGGGTATCTGGAGGCGTGGGTTGAAGAATACATATAGATATCCAGAGTGCCTTTGAAAGGTGAAGTAGGACACGTATACATAACAAGAAATCTTTAATGGGGAAATGCGTAACTAATGTTAGTAGAAGTGAAGAAACCCGGTCCAAGTATATATGGTAACAGATTGCCTGTTGAAAGGCGGAAGGGGCATTAAAAAAAAAGTCAAAGCAAAAGACCAACAATCTTCCAGTGTTTTAATGAATCCTCTTTGCGAAAGGTTCTCCTTGAATGTAAAAACCGGAATAAAAACTCCTTGTTGAAAACAAATATGCAATGTGACAATTGGCAAGTATGGTGATAGTTGAGATGTTGCAAAACTGCTAGGCCGGGCCAATGTCCAGAATGGAGGTGTCTCTTCGAACGAGAGGGACAGAAGCATGTCATTGTGAGATGGGATCGGATCGGT